GGTGAACTGAATGCTCTGGTATAGTAATTGGTATTAAATCTTTGTGGATACACCTCCCTAATATTTTTACCAGGTATTCTAATTTTCTTGCATTTTGGTTTTTTTGAAGTGAAAACCAGCAATGGTGGAGTTTGCTGCTTCCTGCAGAGATGCTGAATCTCTATATATTGAAATCACTGTTGTGTGCCCTGCTCAGGATCCATTTGGGGCTTTAAAAAGCTTTATTTTGGGGTCTTTTCCTGATTTAATTAAAAAAAAGCTTTAATTTTGGGTCTTCTCCTGTCTGAGAATGATGAGCTGCTTCCAGTCAGGTGTTGGTTGTCATCAAGTGTATTTTGTGGTGAAGTATTCCAGAATTGTAGCTGGAACTCATGTGTTGCCTCTGGGCTTGTTTCTCTCACGCTCTGCAGTGTCACACCTTCCTCTCCACTTGGTTGTATGTCARTATTAATTTGGATTATTCAGGATGATGCTGTGTTGAAAAACTCCTGCTTGCAGTCCTGATAAAGTTCTCTGCTTTATCCACGAGTTGTCCTTGGAGCAGCATTCCCTCTGGGAAGGGTCACTGTCCATCCCTGCTGCTGGTGCTCTCCCTAATTGTGGAATCCTGGAATGGTTTGGGCTGCAAGGGGACCTTAAAGCCCATCCAGAGCCACCCCCTGCCATGGGCAGGGACACTTCCCACTGTCCCAGGCTGCTCCAAACCCCATCCAACCTGGCCTTGGACACTTTCAGGGATGGGGCAGCCACAGCTTCTCTGGGCACCCTGTGCCAGGGCCTCCCTACCCTGACAGGGAACAATTTGTTTCTAACATGGATCCTAAACCTGCTCTCTCTGTCTCTCTCTGTGAAGCCACTCTCCTTTGTCTTGGCACTCCACGCTCTTGTGAACAGTGCACCACTATGAAACCATCCAAAAACTACAATTTTATATCAGATTTAGCTAATTCTATGTTGTTATGGGTGTTTCAGGGTGACATAACAATGGGATGAGAGAGAGGGAAATTTAGAATCTTGCTGCAAACWGTTTTCAAAATTATTTTCTGATGGCTAAATAAAATGTAGAGCCATGGAATGGTTTGGTTTGGAAGGAGCCTTAAAGATCATCCAGTTCCACCCCCAGCCATGGCAGGGACACCTTCCACTAGACCAGGGTGCTCCAAGCCCTGTCCAGCCTGGCCTTGGACACTGCCAGGGTTCCAGGGGCAGCCACAGCTTCTCTGGGCACCCTGTGCCAGGGCCACCTGTTCCTGGATAATTCACCCTGAGAAGATGTTTCCCACCTTTGCTGCAGAGATGTGCTGTTGACTCCTGTTGAGCTTGTTGTCCACCAGGATCCCAGGGCTTTTTGGCTCCCAGTTGGCCCCCAGTCTGCACTGGTGAATGGGATTGCTCCCCTGG